AGGGAAAATAGAAAGTAGAAAAAAACCTGTGGTTTTAAAAGCCTGGTAACGCTAGGAGTATATTTATAGCAGATTTCTTTTTGATAGTTTGAAAAGTTCTGGGTTTTTTGCTGCCTCTGCCCATTTTCCCACAGTTCTTCAGAAAGACTGTTCATGAAAGCTGGAGTTTTGGATCTGTGCCATCTAATCTGAATAAATCACTTGTGTACAATAACATGGCACTTCTGTTACCAAGCCTTGCAGAACAAAAAGAAAAGCCTACTGGAGTTACACCTAGATAGCTCCTAGCTATTGTGCAAGATGCTCTACATGGAGACACCAGTGTAGTCACCCTTTCTAGATGCCGCTCAAGATGAAATCCTTTCTGCGAGGACTTGCACTCAAAATGTTAAGTAGGAGGGTGCAGTGCTGGAGAATGAACAGGAATGTAGTCAGACACTGTATTTTTTTATTTTCTTGGTGGTGAGGGAGCAGTACAGCAGCCTCCAGTCTGATCAAGGAGTATGGCAAGTGGAAGCTGGAGTAGAAGTTGGACATTCTGGGCCATTTTTTTGGAGATAGGCACAGTCAGAGCATCTAATGACTGATGGAATGGCAGCTCCTCCAAACAGCAGCTTGATTTTGGAAGGAGATGATGCTTTTTTTCATCTGCCTCAAGAAGGTGAAAAGGGGCACTGAGAAAACTCATAAAAAGTGATTTTTGGAGGGGAGGATTTGAGAGACTAACTGAATAAGAAACTTGCCCGTGCCTTCATTACCTGTCTATGGCAGGAGGCGCTCAGCCTCGGTGGAGGGTTATGGACTAGCAAGGTGGAGAGTGGACCAGCCTGATCCCTCAGCATCCCCAGCTGGCCCAGGAAACTGCTGCTGCCTTGTGAAAGCTTCAGACCCTCAGGGCTGGAAAGGTGTGGTCCTTGATCATGCTTGGTCAAATGATGCATCATTTATTGCCCACAGTAGAAACTGGTGATAAAACAGTAGCATTGATGATTCCTTTTTTTTTTAATCTGACTTTTTTTTTTTCTGAAGTGCTGTGAGATACTTGGGCAAGCAAGGTCATCAGCCAGCCTTAACTGCCTCAGTGTCATCCAGTTCATGGGGGGAGCTTAGCTGTCATTGCCCTTTCAGGGGTACCTGAGTAGAAGAGGAAACAGATGAAAGATTCAGAACAGACACACCAGAGCCCAAACGGTTGCTGGGTTCTGTAGCAATCCCTCCAAGTTGCGCTTGGAAGATCTTTTAGTCTGTGATTCATTTGGCAGTGGCTAGAAACCAAAAGGTCTTTTTTATGTGAGATTTCTGGAGTGGAGTTGGAACCTGGCTTGTCACACCTGTTTGAAGAGTTAAATGGCTGCTGGGAAACAGCAGCAAGCTGGGTTCTTGTGCTTGGCTACATCACCGCAGGGTGCTTTCCAGGATTTGCTCTTTTGTCTTGTGGTGCAGCACCCAGTACTGCACCCCCGCACAAGGACAGCCGTGTTCTCCATGCACGTGCTGTTTGCACTGGCTCTGGGCATCCCTGACTGAGCAGGGCCTGTAGGTCTGGCTAAACTCTCTCCTTGGAGCAGCAGAGCTGCAAAGAGTACCAGCCCAGTTGCTATTGCAAGTGACATCTCCGCTGTGTTAAATTACAGGTCATAAATGGGGATGAGATAATTCAAACAGGCAAGTAAACCCAATCAGTTCTCTAGCTGAGCAGTACCCAGTCCTGGCCCAGTGCACTGACCTCCTACCCATTCCAGCTCCTCCCACTCCCTGTGCCCAATTCATGTGTGTTACAGACGTGTTTCCTAGATTGCATTTTCCTTCGAGTGAGAAGATGCCTCTACTCACCAAGCTTGTGTTTTTAAGATGGGTTTTCCAAGTGTAGATTTCCAGCTGTTTTGCAAACTGATGTAGAGAGTGCTCATTAGTGCCAGAAAATAACCAGCTGTTCATTTTTGACTGTTTGGAAAGCTATATTCTTTGGAAAGAAAATTTAATTTAAAATTATATATTCCAGGTAAAATTTATCCCAAGGAGGAGGATTTAATTTGCCAAAGAACACATTTCTGCTAAGGCCATTGTGTTTTGCAGGATTTCTTTCAGCATGGGAGGAAAGCTAAGGCCTTTAACTCCTCCGTTGTCTGGATCAGGACAAGTGCTAGGGCAGGCTACAGCCTGCCTTGCTGTTGATTCCTCATGCCTCCTCCTCCTCCTCCATTTGCTCAGCTATACAGAGCTCAGTCTCTTCAGGGCTGTAATACAAGCAGTACTTAAATTCTGCTTTGTTTTTGCACCCTAACACTTACCCCTGAGGGGAAACCCGCTGAGAAAAGCAAACATGACTTGATTACCGATGTACCACACAGCTGATGTGCTGGGATCGGAATCTCAAGGGGCTGTGGTAGCACTTGGATCTCTTGAGCAGGATGTCTGAACTGTCCCTTGATGTTTGTGCCTTCTGTGCATCGTTTTTCCTTCCATTTTGTTTCTCAGTGGGCTGGACTGGGAAGAGTTCCTGCATGCAGCTGTTTTCATTCAAGTAAATTAGAAGTTTTTCTTTCTGAAATTGGAAAAAAAAAAAGCAGATCAGCTGGTAACATGGAGAGCATATTTACCTGTTGCTGTCTCTGTTGCTGCTTTGTGTGGCTGCACTTTTTGAGGGAAGAGGAAAATTGGCATTTCTAATTGTGCCACCAACTCTTTGGCTTGACCCTCCAGTGCTGTATCCCACTGCAGATAATGTAGCTGTTAGTAGGCCAGGTTTTGTTGATGGTTTTTTTATTATTTTTGATAAATTTAGTACACATCCTTTAGCTTTCTGAATACTTGTGCTAAAAAGTGGAGGCTAGCACTTTCTGTGTGGGATGAATCAAAACTGGGATGTGGGAACCCTGGATTCGGCAGAGCCCGGGAGCCCCTCTGAGCTGGAATGGGTCTAGGAGCAGTGTGTTCAGTGTTTGTTCTTTGTGTTCTGTCGATGGCATCTCCCCCTCCACCCACACTGCCCTCTTCCCCTTCACCTCAAATAACCCCTTAGTTTTAGCTTTTGGCTGCTTCTCCTCTATGTTGCTATTGCACCCTCACTCCAGCTGATGACTGCAGGCTGCCATTATCTGCTTTTTATTTTTATTTATTTCAAGCATACCATGAGTTTATTCTGAGCACACTTCATCCAAAATACAGAGACAGTGGCCATTAGATACCACTTGCACTTTTCTCTGCCAGATGAAACCTCCACCACTTTTATTTTCTGCTGCCTGTTTCTGTTTTTCTAACATATTTTTTTAAAAAAAAAACATTAAAATTGGCTATTGTTGTTATTAACACCAACTCCCTTCCCCACCTGCCATGGCAAAATACTGCATTTCCATCTGCCTCTGTTGGGGCTGTCTGGATAAAGCCACTGTGACTGGATCAGTTCACCCATGTAACTTTGGCTCACTGTCACCTTCCATCACACAAAAAGGCCAGGAGGGCCAGACCGGGCTGTGAAAGCCTGTGGCATGCAGGGGCCGTGTTACCCCAAGAAAACAGAAAGAGGCAGACATGCCATCTTACCAGAGAATGTTAGCCAAGCTGCCTCTGCCTGGGCATCATCTGAAGGCACTGTCACAGCCCCGGGTCCTGGAAGTTCCTCATCAAGCAAGCTTGTGGGGCAAAAAAAAAATAAATAATTTTTTTATTTGGTGAAGGAGTTCTGACTTTGTGGGGTGTTTGTTGCAGGAGAAGCGGATCGTGTCCCTGGACTCTGCCAACACGCGGCTGATGAGTGCCCTGACCCAGGTGAAGGAGCGCTACAGCATGCAAGTCCGCAATGGCATCTCCCCCACCAATCCCACCAAGCTTTCCATCACGGAGAATGGTGAATTCAAAAACAGCAGCTGCTAACCGGGCAGATGCTGCCGGCCATCTTCCCAGGAGAAGGGCAAGAGGGAGCAGACTCAAGAAACCTTCAGAATAGCCCCTCTTCCCCTTACAGGTTTACATAATGCTGCTAATAAAATGGTAAAAAAGAAAAAAAAAAGAAAAAAAAAAAGAACTCTGAAAGGTGGGCTTTAATTCCCCACTCAAGGCCAGGAGAACCGGGCTCCCGAGAACAAGTCCTTCCATATCACTGTGTAAATAGAGGGAGCTCTTGGGTCATGTACAGAAAATGCTGATGTAATATACCCAAAGGAAGTGAATACTGTAGATTTTTTTAATTATTGCTATTTTTATTATTATTATTTTTTTTTTCCTCTTGTTGAAAGCACTGCAGTCCTTGGAGGAGGAAGAGGGGAGTGTGAGTGCATGTGTGTTGTGGGTGCGAGAGAGCGAGATGAGCAGTGGTTCCATTAGACAGCAGCTGTGCCGACCAGGCTGACTGATACATGAGCCGAGTGACATAGGAGTGAAATGAATTCTGTAAAACTCATCTGCTGGTTTTATTCCCCTCTTCTCTAGCTGTTCTTTAACTGAATGCAAACTCGATAGCAAACATTTTAGCAAGAAAATTGGCCCTTGCTGGATCCCATACCTACTTCCAGTAGGACTCCAACAAAAAATGGTCAGTCTTTTTGAACAAGGTGAAAACTTGGAGCAGCAAGCTTGCTTCCTTGCGTTTGCACACAGTCAGGCTTCCCATCAAACAGACAGAGGGAATCTGCAGGTTTTCGAGGTAGGATTCTTTCTTTTTTACCCCAGTTCTAATGCAGTTTTATATTTTCTGGTTTGAGAATGTAATTTACAGACCTGTAAATACTTTTTTTTTAAATTTCTATCCTATCCCCACTTTACGCCCCGTGCAGTGGCATCTGGAATTCATTCTCTGTGCTCCATCAGGAAGAGTCAGGTTAATGCTCTGAGGAGAGGGCTGACTGAAGGGTGCCCATGCCCAGCAGCGTAGAATTCCACATGCAAAATTTCCTTTTTCCTAGAGGATTTCTATATTTTCACTCTCATTCAGTTTCACTATTTCAGCCAGTAGCTTAGCCAGTCTAGTTCCAATGAAAGACACTTTCTGAATGTTTGTGTTAAAAGATCTTCCATTTCCACTGAAATTGTACTTTCTCTGGGTATTTTAAAGGGTTTTTTTGAAGTCCTATACACACTAGATTTTTTTCTTAAGGACTTTTGACTAAGCTTTCATCTCCAATTACTTTCAGTTGTATTTCATAAAAGCATACTTACAGGCTGTATGTGAATGTGTATATAATTACAAACTGACCTTCTCCTGGAAGATAATGACATTCACAAACTGCAAAAGATTAACAATAAATGACACAGTATTGTCAATTCTCATTATTTCATCAAATGCTCCAGTATTTAGTCTGAGGGGTTTTTTTAAATCCTCAGATTCTAGACTCGAGTAATAATATGTGAATCTTCACTTTCACTTTTTGGTATGCATTTCTAGCCCCCAGACTCTCAAAGGACATAAAATTATTGCAACAGCAATTGAAATTTTGAATTACAGAAATATACTAATAACAGTGAGTGTGATTAACCATTCAAACTAGTTATGGAAATTAGAAATTGGAAAAGTTGACTTCAAAACGAGCCAAAACTTCGAGAGGGTGTCTCGGTGTGGGATGTGTTTAGCCAACAGTTCAGGCTGCAATTAGGAACAAGTTGATGAGGTGGCTGTGGGGGCACCTGGCTGAAATTGTACAGCCTGTGATACAGAGAAGGTCAGAGCTGATTATCCTTTCTGGCCTTGGTTTCCGAATCTCTAAAATTGTACTATATTAAAAACATAGGTGTTTCTAAGCTAATTTCTTGACCTCCTGAGAGTGACCCTTGTTGCCTTGAACATGAAGGATTGGCAATACTGAGGACCCAAATTCAGTGTCTGTTTCCAAGTTTGTATTTTCTTGGGAAATGAATTAATCTCACCTCTGTGGGCAAATGCATCTTGTGACAGAGCGCAGCACCTCAACTCTTTGGCCTGATTATTGTGTTACGATGCTTGAGTTAAACATCCTGGCACCAGTATGTTACATTACTAACTATGCATAAATACAGAGGCCACATCTCCTGCACTGGAGGATGTATAAGAAAGACGTGTATGAATCTATCCTAGCAAGGCCTTGGCTGTTAATTTACATCTAGAGAAGACTTGTCTGCATCAAGCTGGGATTTATATTTAATGCTTAGTTCTTTTAGATCAAAGCTTCTCCGGCTGCTTGAATGTGAGTTGGTACTACAGGCCAAGGAGCATCCCTGGCTTGTTCTTGGTGTACCATAGCCAAGTCAGCACTGCCTGGCACATCTGGGGCTGTGAGCTGTGTTTGCTCAGCAGTGATTTCTTTAACATACTTTTCCAAGCTGTCTTCCAGCTCTGGGTCATTGCTGACCTCTGATATTTTCTTCCTCAAACTGTGCCTTTAAGTTCCTTCTTCTTTCCTTCTTCCTTCATGCATCCCAGCCGTAGGTGGTCTATCGAGTTTGTATTAATCTGTCTTGCGAGTAGCTCTTTTACAAGAAACCTTTGCAAACTCCTTTTTGTTGAGTATTTTTGTGTGACCTGCATCTCCCCTTTGCTATGTACTGTAATTACACAGCTGCATCCTGAGAAATTTGTTCCCAAAAGTAGCCTTTTCAGATGGGCATGTGCATTGCTCACTTACTACATAGTGCAAATAGTACGGGTGTTCCGTGACCGAGACGTGAGAGCGAGTGATTGTAGGAATACGTCGACTAGAACAAGGCAGAAGCAGATACGTCAGTCTGGTAGCATTTAACCTAGCATCAGTTTGGGAAATGCATTTCACTGGAGCTCCCCAGCTTTCTGGTAATCTAGCAAAGATCACTGGCTGAGCTGTATGGTTCGATGCTGAAGACTCTGAAATATCTACTTTGGTTTCTGCAGAGAAATGCAATGGGGGCAGCATTTCAGCCCTGATTTTTAGAGAGGAAATAATCCCTGTCCCACGATTGATATGTTTTGGTGAGCTCTTCTGTAATGGGATCATTCTAATAAGGTACCTTCTCCTGTGTATTTCTTAAGCTTGCAGAATGCTTGTCGGAAAAAATTGTTATTCTAAAAGAGTCTGACCCAGCAGTATCATCCTCACAGCTTGTTGCTAGGCTGGTCATTTCTGTTCTATTTCAGTTTCTACCCTGAAGTGCAGTGTGTTCCTCTTACCCCTGCTACAGAGGAGAAGCTGCCTGTTGACACAAGGGGGTGAGGATTGCAGACTCATAACGCTGTGAGACTAAAATTGATTAGCTGCAGAATGAATTGTTATGCTCCCAAGTTCTGCAGGCAGCTGTCTCTCCTAGTTTGTTACCAAGCAGCTTTCTAGAGAAATTCTAAGACGCTTTGAGCTGACAATATGTGAAAATGCCAGCTTCTATTTGTCCAGTCTGATAAAATTCAAGTGGCACTAAACCACGTGGCAGCCAAAAGGTCTGTCTGTTTTCGAGCAAGAGCCCTAACTGGGCCTGATCACATTTGGTTTAAGACTAGTAGCCAGTGGGTTTCTGCAGCAATGAGAGAAGAAATAAATAGTGCGGGGTCTGATGATGAGCGATATAGACTTTAGGTTTTGGTTCATACTTTCAGCAAAAGCATCAGGCTGTTTCCCTAATGTTGTTGCAGGCAACTGCTGCTTGCATTGGGAAACAGCTGAAGTAGCACAGGAAAAATTTCATAGCCTGTAGGATTAATACTTGTGTGTTCCTCAGATTGAAACAGAAAAGTTGCCCCATCCTGGCATCTCAGTCCTCGCTGGCCGTGTTACTCAGTACTGTTCCAGGATGATTCTTCCCAAAACACAAAGCCACCCCACCCGAGTTCTCAGTAAAAGCTCACAGCCAGGATGGCAGGGCAGGGACGTGGAGCAGCCCTGTGCAGCGCTGTGGCCTTCTACCGTGTTGTGTGTGGTGTCTGCAGGGTGTGTGAAGAGAGGTGACCAGAGTGACGTGGGGTAGGCACTAGTGGAGAAGAGAGGCAGCATGGCCTGGGAGTGGCATCCTGTAAATGCCCATTCTTTGCAACTCTAGGCATTCAGACCTCTTTTTTTAGGGATACAGATGGATTTCACGTACAGGAATTACCAACTGTTATTTCCCTGGGGTATCAGAAACGGGCAGCTATGCATAAAAGCACAGATTCGTACAGCTCCACATTTTGCATCGTTCCTCTCCAGTGGCGTAACTCAGGCAGGGGATCCAGAGGAGCGTGGAAAGGGATGTGTGTATTTTCTAGTTAGAGAATATGAGGTGTATCCAGTAATAAATTCTGTATCCATCTAATAAGTTGTCCAATAAATGGGGCTGATTTTATGTTCTTGCAATTGCTTTGGGTTGGCTTAGGCTTTTTTTTTTTTTTAACATGATACATTAATTTAATGTTTTAATGCTTGCTTAAACCCACCAGCTTTTAACTTCAGCTGAAAACTCAGTGATTGAAGTCCTTCAGTTTTACAGCAGTGCCTGTGGAATGTGTCAGCAATACTTACCTGTTAAGGTCACCGTGTGCTTATGAATTCTGTTTGTGTTCTGCAAAAATGTCTGTGTTGTTCCTGGAGAATAATTCCTGTCCAAGTTGAACCATTAAATGTATTTCCATCAGTGATGAGCATGGTCAGCCACAGGTATCCATCTGAGTCTGACAGAGAAAAAAGGGTTAAATTTAGGCTGATGCTTTTAGGTATTTCCTTCTCCACAGCAAGTTAACTCCCATGAGAGCGAGCATGTCATTACAGATCATGCCTGCTAGGAATCCTACCTGTAAAAATAGATTTTTCTGTCTCAAGGGCCTTAATAAGAGTGTTACTACACAGAACTGTTTTACAATGATAGCTCTAAATAATTTATTTTTTATTTCAACAAAGTACACCTTAAAAAGTAATAAACTTGGTTTTCAAGCCGTATTTTTATGCTAGTAGCACTGGACTGTTTGG